AAGACGCTGTTTTGTTCAGCAAAAAATTTTTAATTTCAAAATATATATTAAAATATCTTTAATTTAAAGTCACAGATTTATCAAACAGCACCCATACATGAAGATCAATGAGGCGTTCGAGGCTATATAGGTTGCTACATATAACATGTAAAACTAAATAATAACTTTTAGATAATTATGAAGTAGAAGCAGATCACAGAGAACAGCTGTAAAAAACTATCGCAATGTCAGTGTACCAGCAAGAACTATTAACATACTTTATGGAACATGAATCTACTGAAAACTGCCAAATTGAAATAAAAGTAAGAAAGGTATATATAGTGACTGTTTCTGAAAACACAATATTAAAAAGCCTGTAATGAACCTATGCATTGAAGGAACGTTTACCCAACGATGCGATAACATATCAAAAACAGGACTGTTCCGTTAAAATCGGGATATCTTGTCACTAATGCTCTAAAGTTAACAAGATCAAGTTACCTAAAAGTCTAATTTCAAATTCTTCTCTTTAACAGCCAATTGCCTCTTTTACATCTCTATGGGACTTAGACCCTTGTGAAATACACCCTGGTGTAACTGTTTCAATCCAGATTCACATTTAATGCAGTATTCATTCGACTGGTAAATATCGAGAGAAATGTCTAACAATCGAGCTTAATTTACAACAGTAGATATTTTGTCAGAATAGCAAGTATAACCTGAAATTCACAGCTGTTTTGTATTACTTGACATGTAACGTGTAATTTTATTTGACATATTTATTTATGAAAAATATAAATGCCTAGTAAAACAACTATTAATATGTTAGATCACTCTAAAAACGTTCAATTGGGCAACAAAATTCAACAGTTCGGGTGTAAATCTATATTGAATCTAGCTTTCCCAACCAAAAACGCCATAAATTAAGCAGTATTTTTCTTAAAGCATCTCATAAAACTGTACAGACCAATTAAAAATAAAATGTTTGCATATTTTAATTTAAAGAAATTCAATTTTTTATAAAAAGTTAAAATAATGTTTATCTAAAATAAGAATGGATTCTTTTTTTTTTCTTTTTTATTTATCTTTTTTTCACATACAAAGCAAATTTAGTACAAATTTTATACAAAAGGAAAACAGTATAAATATACAAATGATGGTTGTTGGTTGTTGGTTCATAACATTTACACACGTTATCTATTATATTTTGAAATAAAGTAAAAGAAAAATAAATTTTTTAATAAAGTAAACAAACAGTGTAAAAAAGAGTAAGCTTCAACGAATCACTATAAAAGCACAAATCGCTTAAAAACACATACAATGGAAAACTTGAATGGACGATGCCCCCAGAACTGGGAGAACAGAACTAAGAGTTAATATGAATTTAAAAGATAAAATCCATTACTAGAAAAAGATTTATGCACACATATGTGCATGGCTAGAGATACTCGACTCGTACCAACAAAGCTACCAAATATAAGCCGCAAGATACAAGTCGCCAAGTATGGTCATGAATATCTTAAGTAAGAAATCTTTACGCGGTTTTAACGCAGACACAGCCAAACAGCTAACGAAACGAGAACAAATTCATTTAAGGAGCACTTCAAAGTCTTCCCGGGGATGGAAACGAGTATTAAAGCTATGAATAGAGTAAATACTTTGCTTTAAATAAGGGTTCGTTACTTTATGTTAATGCAATAACAAGTTGGCATAACGTGTTGTCTTTTAATTTTGCAACAATTTAAGTCTTTATACAAAATATATGTATACAAATTCAAGAATATGCAAAATGTATCTATATACAAATTTACAAATGTGCATACATACAAAGCTGCTAAATACAATTATGCCATGCCATGCCATGCCATGCCATGCCATGCCATGCCATACCATGGTATGACAAAAACTTCGCTCTAAACTGGCATTTTCGTACTACAACACAACGACAAAAGCAACCGAACGAATGCAGAAGCTCTTTTCACGTACATCTGCACATGGAAGCACTTATGCATACATAAATTTAAGTGCATATCTAGATAGATTTGTACGTTACAACAGACAAACAAACAGACAGACAGATACACAGATATACAGATAGGTATGCACGTACTGCTTTGTAGCATTAAAAATGGATATGACTTCAAAAAGTTACTATGCTCAACAGATGAGCGCCTAGTATTTTCTGCTCATCTTCATTTTTCATTTTTAAAATATTCATCTTGCACACTTCATACGTCTTCACAGCATCACAGCATCATGAAATCTGAAGTTGCAGATGATGTTCGTTCAATCCAAGAAGAAAAAAACACAATGTTTTAATATGTTTTTCATATTTCTTTAAGTAGTTTTTTGAGAGACAAAGCAGTGTGTAATAGTGAAAATAAGATACTTAAAGTCATAATAAAAAGATTAATTTTTTGATAAATTTATGATTTCATGAATCGTAAAAATTGTAAAATACAACGAAATAAAAACAATCTTTTTTAAATCATTTTTAAATCATTGTTAAGAAGTTTACTACACTGCACCACCAATCATAGATAAAAAATCTTGTTTCAGATAAAAAATTTTTAATAAACATAACTGAAACATAACATAATAGTGAAGTATTTATTATTTGCTTGTAAAAAATCAAAAATCAAATTTTTTTAAAATAATTTATTTTTCAGTTTATCTACGAAAGAAGTTTTACTTTTATAATACCATAAATAAATAAGTACATTCATTGAGTCATATAAAAAATATTGATAAAAAAACTGTACTCGAATAAAAATTTTTTAATTATATTAAAGAACGAACAAAAGAGCTTGTTTATAGAAATAATGACGTCAGCTGTGATGACTACATCCAAGCCATTTTGTTAGGACTTACGTTGGGTTTACAAGTCAATGAGGAACTTATAGTT